GTAACTCAGAGGTGATGAAGGTGACCCAGCTCTACTCTTCATCACTACGATGCTGTAACTCAGAGGTGATGAAGGTGACCCAGCGATGTCCAGTAGTCTCCAGTGAGAGCAGCAGCTGCTGCACGTTGTAACGACGTCGCTTTAGTCGTCCTCTCCTTTCATACAACTCGTGTGTTCTTCTTGTGACCGTGCGTCTTGAGGCTCATACATGACGTCATTCGTTGAGATCCTAAAGCTGCGTTCACACCAAACACGACGTGAACGCACCTTGAGAACGTTCCTCAGACCGACATCTTCCACAACACTAACCTGCAGTTTGTCTCCACTTCTCTGTAGCATCTGTTAGCTTGTCTTGCTTTAGTTTATCTCTACTTCTCCCACACGCTGCATCAACGTAGTCTGAAGACTTCCTCCACCGCTGCCAGTGATCAATGCACTTTACAAATAATAATTTAAAAAACTGCGTTAACGCGCAATAAAATAATAGTCTGCGTTAATTAATGAATGCGTTAACACGTTATTATCGCGTTAACTTGCCCAGCACTAAACCAAGCTTTACAAAAAAGCTCCAGTTTTGAAACTGGAATTTGGCAAAATGCATTTTGACAAGCCACAAAGCTTCTGGGAGAATGTCCTTTGATGAGACAAAACTGGAGCTTTTTGTCTCATCAGCTCTCTGTTCACTGACGTGAAGCATAGAAAGAAAGAACACTGTACCTACTGTGAAACATGGAGGAGGCTCGGTTGTGTTCTGGGGCTGCTTTGCCGCATCTGGCACAGGGTGTCTTGAATCAGTGCAGGGTACAATGAAACCTCAAGACCATCAAGGCATTCTGGAGCAAAATGTGCTGCCCAGTGTCAGAGAGCTTGGTCTCAGTCGCAGGTCATGGGTCCTCCAACAGGATAATGACCCTAAACACAGCTAAATACACCCAAGAATGAATAAGAGTACAACATTGGACTATTGTGAAGTGGCCTTCTATGAGCCCTGATCTGAATCCGATTGAACATCTGTGGAAGGAGCTGAAACATGCTGAAACATGCTGGAGAAGGAACCCTTCAATCCTGAGACAGCTGGAGCAGTTTGCTCACGAGGAGTGGGCCAATATACCTGTTGACAGGTGCAGAAGTCTCACTGAGAGTTACAGGAATCACTTGATTGCCTCAAAAGGTTGTGCAATAAAATATTAAGTTAAGGGGACCATCACTTTTGTCCAGGCCATTTCCATTAGTTTGTTTTTTTAAATGATTGTTGAACCACAATTCAAAAGCAATGTCTGATTTTCATTAGTTCATTTTTAGTACATTTTTATTTATTGTTGGAATGCTGTTAAGCATTCCAACTATTGTTATCCTATTCTTTATTCTTCAACTATTTCTTCCGTCCCCTGTTTTTTGAAACGCTTCTTCTTCTTCATTTTTTAAGCTACAGAAACCGTTCAACTATCAAAATGTTCAGCTCGTTAAGGACACGTGTGCTATGACTTTTCATATTTCTATCTCTTATGCTTTATGAATCATTAAGCTTTTTGCAACTTTTTTTTGAATGGGATGTCTATGGAGAATATTTTCAAATCCTCTTAAACTTCTTCAACTTTCAAATCCTTCTACTTCCTCATACTTTCAGCTACAGACACCATTTCAACTTTAAAATGTTGAGAAAACCCTGAACTATTGCCGCATAATTCAGCTTTCTGCTATCTTTTACACTTTTTGAAATGCAGCAATTTAACTTTTATGATTTTTTTCAGTCCTTTTCTGACTTTATAATGGGTGTGTATTGCGCAGCTTAGAGTGCGTGATGTCACCGCTAGAGTGAAGAGCAGCTTGAGATTCTTGTGAAAAAAAGATTTGTGTTTTGCCACTGTGTCCACAATCTTCACTCTTCATGCATAATTTCTGGATTTAAAAGTAGCTAATCTTGTCCTTGTTGTAGACAAATGACTGTGGAATCCCACAGATTTACACATTTGGCACAGAAGCCTGTAATTGAGAGGAAAACCAACTTTCTGCTCCATAGAGACCAATGTTAAATTTTGCTTCAAAAACATCTTCCACAGAACACGGTACCCCATTTCTAGATCGCCAGTTCAGCCACATTTTTTACACTACAGACACAATTTTTACAGGATCTGTTCTTCAACTCATCCTTCCTCTCATTTATTAATATCGGAGCAATAGGAGCTACGGTTATGGGAGTTTTGAGGATTTGTTTGAGAGGTGTTTTCCTGTTTTATCTCCATGAAAAGGCTGCAAGGACACAGGTGTTTCTGATTAAGCTAATTAGTGATGTTGATAAACACAGACTCACAGACACACATACACTTCTCTCTCTGTGTGTGTCTCTCTATCTGTGTGTGTCTCTGTGTGTCTCTCATACAGTCATTCAGGTCTTACAGCTTTTTACAGGACCCCCCCACACACCCCATTTCAAAATAAAAGCCCCACAGAGTGAATTCTAACTGGAATGCTTGTGATGAAGCCTGTCATTTAATAACCTCTGTTTGTGTGTTTCATACTTTCTGATTCTGTCTCCTCCTCCCCCTCTCTCCCCCACCCAGCCCCACCCTTTCAAAATAAAAGCCCTATGGATTAACTGTATTTAAACGTTACGCTCAAAATTAGGCTTTTTTGTTGAAATAATGAATGCTCTTACTAATACTGCGACAATTACTACTACTGCTGCTAATATTTATAGTATTACTACTACTGCTGCTACTACTACTACTACTACTTCAACTTTTGCTGTTGCTACTATTACTACTGCTATTACTGCTACCATCGATATTATTACTACCACTACTACTATTACTTGTACTACAACTGCCATTCATGCTACTACCAGTACTAATATTACTACAGCTATTAGTACGACTGCTACTACTGTTATATTAAATACTACAGCTATTACTATGACTACTGATACTACTACTTCTACTACTTCTTCTAATTACTAATACTTCTACTACTAATGATACTTCTACTACAACTACAACTTCTACTAATACTACTCCTACAAATATCACTACTGCTACTACTAGTACTTATTCTAATGCCAGTAATACTTCTACTACTAATAATACTTCTACTACAACTACAACTTCTACTACAAATATCACTATTGTTGACATTTTTTAAGCTACAGAAACCGTTCGAATATCAAAATGTTCAGCTCTTTCAGGAGAGGGGTGATATGAATTTTCATATTTGTAATCTTTAAATTCTTTGAAATATTAAGCTATTTGCAATTTTCTTTTGAATGGGATCTCTATGGAGAAAATCTTCAAATCCTGCTACATATGACTTCATATTTGTAATCTTTCAACTTTTTGAATTATTAAGCTTTTTGCAATTTTTTTTAAATTGGATATCTATTTTCAGCAATGTTTTTGAGATTCATTTCAGCTTTCAGCATTCCAACGCATTTTCAGCAGGAAATGCATTTTCTAGTTATTACTTTTGTCAGTTTCAAGTTATTTCAGTGGCCATTGTGGGTTTGTCTTTCTTTAACAGAAGGGTACCAACAGTTTAGTCCATGTGTGTATATATGTTATATATATATATTTATATATGTGTATATACTGTATATACATATCTATAGACACGTATATGAAACGCATCAGTGGTCTCATGGTGTGTTTGTTTCGTCCACCAGACTGAGACGGTGGACAGCGGTTCGGTCCTGACTCAGGGAGACAAACTGAGAGCCTTAAAGAGCCGGAGACCCCCCCGACCCGCCACCACGGGAGCTCTCAGGTACCAGGTCCAAGACCAGGACCAGAACCTCATGTATATCTTGTGTATTAGTAAACAGAGGGATCTGCCTCGTTTGAATAACGTTCTTTAACTGAAGCCACGCCCACTTTCTTTCAGAGTGGAGGAGATGAAGACTCACAGCAGGTCGGCCTCTCAGCCGCTCAGGTAGCTCTGAACACCTACGTACATGAATCATGACTTTAATGAGCTACGTTAGCATGTAGCTAACGTAGCGCATGACAAACAGTAATGCTCACTAACGAGCAGTTTGTAAATACACGTTCAACAGTTTTTATATTAATGTAACAACATCCAAATGTGTTCTTGGTGAATATTTCAAATACTTTTAAATACATTTATTTGTGGATTTTTATTAAATTGATTCCAAACAATAACTATTTGTGTGTGCATCAGAAATATATTTGTGAATCTTATTTTTATACATTTATATATAAAATAACTTTCATTAATATCATTAACACTGACATTTGTCATAACTCCAGGAAACATCATCCAGGATGTTCTTTGTTGTACAAGTCAGATTCAATGAAACTTAAGAGTTGTTTCTTTACTGATATTAAACAGTAATCACTACATGTGTTGATCATATGTGTCACTGTGTTTAGATGGTCAATGGGTGGTCAGGGCCCCCCCGCCCCCCTCAAGGCCTCCAAATTCTCAGCATCCTCTGCTTCTGCTGCCGCCAAGAGGATCGGAAGAAGTCCGTCATCAACGGCCTCCAACATCAGGAGGTCAGTGTCACCGCTCACTTCCTGACTCACCTCACTTCCTGTCTGACTCAACCTGCTCTTCATCACCAGCTCCATTGGTGCCATTGATGAGCTTGTAGTACCTGTTAGTAGTAATACACATACTGTAGAACCTGTTACTAACATTAAACAGCTACTGTCACACTTCTTAGGACTAACATGCATCTAGTAGTATCTGTTTGTACCATTCAACAGCTTGCAGTACTTGACAGTACTAATACACCTCTAGGAGCAGATCTTAGTGCTCAAACACACTTAACAGGAGCTGTGTGTACTGATCTGGTAGGTAGTACAGTTACTGCCATTAAACAGCTTGTAGTTCATTTTAGTTCAAGTACACAGTCAGTAATACCTCTTAGTATTAATACTCAGCTGGTAGTATCAGTACAGCTTGCAGTAACTGTTACTACCAGTATACAGTCTGTAATATTTGTCAGATAATCTTAAAATTTTGCTTTAATACTGAAGAAGCTGTTGGTGCCTAAACGGAACATGTCTGTTTTAAACTAGTGTTTTAAACTGGTGTGAACCGGTTTAAACTGGTGTTTTAAACTGGTGTGAACCGGTTTAAACTGGTGTTTTAAAGTGGTGTGAACCGGTTTAAACTGGTGTTTTAAACTGGTGTTTTAAAGTGGTGTGAACCGGTTTAAACTGGTGTTTTAAACTGGTGTGAACTGGTTAAAATTGGTGTGAACCGGTTTAAACTGGTGTTTTAAACTGGTGTGAACCGGTTTAAATTGGTGTGAACCGGTTTAAACTGGTGTTTTAAACTGGTGTGAACCGGTTGAAATTGGTGTGAACCGGTTTAAACTGGTGTTTTAAACTGGTGTGAACCGGTTTAAACTAGTGTTAGTGTGTTTACATCTCCCGCCCTCTCAGTTATGTGTATATTGTGTGTTGTAGGTTGTGTATATGTGTTAATGTGTCACACACCCCCCCCCCCCCAGCTCTCGGTTGGCCTCCTCTCTCTCTGATCTTTATGCTGTGGACGCTGAGGACTCCTCCTCCCATGTGTCTCTCAGCTCCACCCCCTCTCCTCTGGCCCCGCCCTCTCTGTGTCGCTATGGTAACGGGCCCCGCGGTGCACAGCACGAGGCCAACAACAACAGCAGCAGGCCAGGCCCTCAGGACTTCAGGGGCCCCGGGCCCTACAGCGCACTGAAGGGCCCGTCAGGACGCTACCTGAGCCGATCCATACCTGTAAGTCCTTAGCCCCGCCCCTCTCTGCTCATTGGTTGTCTCTCTCTTCTGACATCATTAACACACTGGATGCAGCTGATCCTTTGAGTTTAATTAATGATAATTAAAAGAAAAACGTTGCATCAAAGGAAAATATTTTGTGCTTCTATCCAAGTTTATCTGGAATATAAAATAAAACGTCAGATTTTATGAAAACATCCGGGTTGTTTCTGATCTCAGTTTTTCACTTTCTCTGTTCCTTTAACTTCTCTGACAGTCACATGACCAGGTGTGAGTCACGTGTTCTATGTAGTCAGTCACATGACCAGGTGTGAGTCATGCGTTCTATGTAGTCAGTCACATGACCAGGTGTGAGTCACGTGTTCTATGTAGTCAGTCACATGACCAGGTGTGAGTCACGTGTTCTATGTAGTCAGTCACATGACCAGGTGTGTCACGTGTTCTATGTAGACAGTCACATGACCAGGTGTGAGTCACGTGTTCTATGTAGACAGTCACATGACCAGGTGTGAGTCACGTGTTCTATGTAGACAGTCACATGACCAGGTGTGAGTCATGTGTTCTATGTAGACAGTCACATGACCAGGTGTGAGTCACGTGTTCTATGTAGACAGCGCAGAAATAAACAGAGAAGCCGTACCTCATACAGAACCCAAGACGCTCGGTCACATTGGTGGCAGCGGTGTTTCTTATGCACCGACTACGGACCGCTACGACTATTTTACGCTTCGGTGACTGTGAGTGTGCACTTTCTTAGCTTAGCTTAGCTGTCTCAGTTTAGCTAGCAGGCTAACTCCGCGGCACTTCAGAGAGAAAAGCGCCGCTGGTTCAAGTACAGGATGTGGGTTGGAGATGAAGACCCGTTGAAGCCCAGCTCAGGGCTGTTCGGCAGACGGTCGGCCAGCAGGGGACCATGTGGACCTGCCTGCTCCGTTTACAGAGTTTCTTCGGCTGGGTGAGACAGTCTGTTACTTTATTTTGAAAGTGCGTTGCTCCCTGGAGACTACTGGACATCGCTGCGGTAAAGTCAGCAGACACTCAGATCTCCGTGTTCAACTCAGCAGACACTTACATGTTAGTGCACCTATATGCTGAAATTCACGGTAAACGCATTGAAACGGCACAGATCGGGAGCGAGCGAAGGACTTTGTTAGCAGAAAGATTAACGTGAGACAACATCCGGTTTCTTCAGACGAACATCCGGTTTTCAGAATAAGATGCCAACAAAGTATGAATTATATTCACATTAAGTATAAAACATACTACCTGCATCTCGTGAACCAAATGTTATTGCCCTTTTGTTCATATAGCAGTACTTTTAAAATAAAAGTGCACAATACACTACTTTTGAATTCATTATTGAACTTTGCCATAACAATGCGATTAATCGCAAAAAATCCATGCGATTAATCGCAATTAAATATTTTAATCGTTGCCCAGCACTAATATATATATGTGTGTATATACTGTACATATATAAACACAGAGATGATATCTGACGGCTGTCTTTATGTTTTTTCTTTCAGTCTCTTCCGTCTGAGTACATCCAGTACTAGAAGTACAGAAGTCACCCGAGGACACATTACCCACAATTCCCTCTGTCTAGGACGCTCAAAGGGAAACTAATAAAGCAGCTCAGTGAGCGAAGGGACTCTGTTAACATCTGCTCACACTATATGTTAATGAGCTGTATGTTAATAAGCTGTATGTTAATAAGCTGCATTTAACGTGGTATTAATGAGGTGTATGTAAATGAGATGTATGCTAATAAGCGGGATGTTAGTGATATTTTAAAGAGTCTGAATATGATTGATAATGATGATCATCTACAGAAGAAGATATATTTAGATAAAGATAGATTTTATATTTCTTATTTGTGACATAAGATATTTTTCTTTTGATTTTTTAATGAACTGAAGGTTCAGACGACGACATCATGCTTACAGTATTTACTTCCTGTCTCTGACCAGTGATCGGTCTGTGTTTATGCTTTTATAGTCAACAGCAATAATAGTAACAGTAGAAGAAAAAGGGACCCAAAAACTCAGGAAAACTGCGGCAGCAACATTTAAAGTTTAAACAGTTTGTCTTCTTCTCGTCCTCAGAATCTCTTCTTCTTCTCTTGACAGGCTCAGTGGATGATGTGTTTACTAACCAGAGGAAATGTAGGAAAGTCCTTAATGAGCAGCTAGTAAAGAAACCAATGAACAGATGGACATTTGTTGAAAACGTGTCACGTGACGCGTTACTTGACATCTCGCATGACGTGTGACTCGAGAGCCTTTCTCGGCGGTTGGTTAGATGTTTCCTGCGTGACTTCCTGTCCTCTGACCATCGTCTTTCCTAATCCTAACTCTACATTCTTACATTAACCCTTTAAGACCTGGGGAGGAAACAACACATACTTTTTCAAAATAAAAGCTCCTGGGATCAACAGGAAAATGAATTGATTGAAACAAACCACAAGTTAATTGGTTTAAGGAAAGTTTGTGAGCGTACGACTTCCTGTGATTCAGTTATTTATCAGAAAAGGTTTCTCAGACTTCAAAGTGCCTTAAAGATGTCAGGAGCTTTATTTTCATTCACCACAGCAGATGCTTTTATTTTGGAATGAACCACATCCTGAGTGATGATATTTAAATGAAGAACTTTAGTTGTTGCTGATCCTGTATTTTAATGTTGAAGTATTTTATTAAAGGGAAAAGTTATAAAATAACTTTCAGATTTACGTTTTTATGAGACAGAAAATAAATGAATTACTTTTCTGACTTCTGTTTCCTGTTTTTATATTTGTGTGTTAAAGACTGTGATGACATGTAATGTACTCAAGTACAAACTCAAGGTACTTGTACTTCACTTCATCTCAGAGATATACTGTAGTACAAATATTTGACTTATCTGACGGGGATGAGGTCGGACATGTTGGACACTATGAACGGACTTGTCACCTGAACTCTTCACCTTCACTCAGGTGACACAACACAAACCAGAGAAAGTGACTTTGGTCACATGACTCCACACCGCTCTCACAGAGCTCATCACTCTGATCAACAAGTCACTCAGTCTGTTATCACACACTGATGATCCATCCATCAATCAATCATCATCATCATGGCTGCACTGTAGAACTACAGTGTGATCAACAAAGATGGAGACAATAAATAAACAGTGAAATTGCTAATAAAATCTTTATTTTCTTTAAATCATTTTAATTGATCCTGAAACGACGAAACAGAAAATGTGTTTTCAGTCATAAAAACAGTTTCATCTTCTTGTAAAGAGACAGAATGAAAGAGAAAACGTCTCAGTCCGTCCTGCAGAGGACGCTGTGGTCTGTAGACTGACGACCTCACACTCAGAGAGGAGGGGGGGAGGGAGAGAGAGAGCGAGAGGAGGGGGGAGGGAGAGAGAGAGAGAGGAGGGGGAGAGAGAGAGAGAGGAGGGGGAGAGAGAGAGAGAGGAGGGGGGAGGGAGAGAGAGAGAGGAGGCAGAGAGAGAGAGAGAGGAGGGGGGAGGGAGAGAGAGAGAGGAGGCAGAGAGACAGACGGACACAAAGGCTTCAGAGGAGGCGTCTTGTGCTCAGATCTTTGGAGGATTTAAAGACTGATGTGATTTAGCTACTTTGTTCCTCATTCATTCATTTCTTCATCGATTCTTCAGACTGAGATGTCTCCTCTGTCTCTTCTCGCAGGTAAAATGATTCATATTATTTCTTATATTTTCATACTTGTATTTTTTACTGTCAAGTGTGTATTTTCTCTCCTTTTTGTTCTGTTGAATGAGATTTTTAGACATTTTTTTCTGAAATCTTCAGTCTGATGTTAAACTATTGGTTCATGTTGTGTTTGTTTAAAACTGCATAATCATTTAAAGAGGACAACGTGATGAAAGGAGAAAGAAGTTTATCAGAGTTCGTAAACAGCTGGTGACTCCATGAGGGGTCACGACCCAGAGGTTGAGAAACTGTCATGGATTTATTTAATTTGATCATTTTCTGTTTTAGTCTTTTACAGTTTTAAACATCACGTCTTTGTGTTTCATGTCGAGCTGCAGATAAAAGAAAAGCTCTCAATGATCAAGACTCCATAGGGTAGTAGGGCCAGCAGTCATGTAACATGTAACAGAAATGTAGCAGTCATGTAACAGACATGTAACAGACATGTAGCAGTCATGTAACGGGTATCACACAGGTAACAGACATGTAACAGACATGCAACAGACATGTAGCAGACATGTAACAGACATGTAGCAGACATGTAACATACATGTAACAGACATGTAGCAGTCATGTAACGGTATCACACAGGTAACAGACATGTAACAGACATGTAACAGACATGTAGCAGACATGTAACAGACATGTAGCAGACATGTAGCAGACATGTAGCAGACATGTCACAGGTAGCAGACATGTAACAGACATGTAGCAGACATATAACAGACATGTAACAGACATGTAGCAGACATGTCACAGGTAGCAGACATGTAACAGACATGTAGCAGACATGTAACATACATGTAACAGACATGTAGCAGACATATAACATACATGTAACAGACATGTAGCAGACATGTAGCAGACATGTCACAGGTAGCAGATATGTAACAGACATGTAACATACATGTAACAGACATGTAACAGAATTTCTTTGAATAACACAACCTGCATGCTTTCTTCCTCCTTTTAATTTATTTCATTTGTAAAGGGAAGGTTTTGTTTTTATTTATTTTTAAATGCGTTGAGCTCCAGAGTCTGTCTGAAATGTTTTTATTAATATAATTTATTACATATTTCTAGATGAACAGGTTAAAGTGTCGCTCTCTCTGTTTGCAGCCGGTTGATGAATAGAAGTCACACCTGTGTTGTTGTTGTTGTTGTTGTTCTTTGTCTTCCCAGCTGTGCTGCTGATGTCATTGCGCTGCGTTCAGGGTCTGCATGTGGAGGTGTTTCCCAGAAGGCCTCTGTTCAGGCTGGGGGAGCGTCAGCAGCTGGTGTGTCGGGTCCAGGACTGTCCCACAATGCCAAGCGTTTCCTGGTCCGTGCTGGGGGACCGACCTCAGACGGCCTCCGTCAGCACCAACGGGACCTGGTCTGTGATCAGCTTTAACCCCGTGATGATGGAGCATGAAGGAGTTCTGCTCTGTAGAGTTGGCTGTGGAGGAAAGAACAAGCAGATCAAGACGTCTGTGCAGGTTTACTGTGAGTTCACACATATGTACTCAAGTACTGTACTTAAGTATACATCTTGTACTTTACTTGAGTACTTTCTACTTTTATCATCATCATATCCTCCACTACTGTACTACAACTCAGAGGTAAATATAGTACTTTTACTGTACTACATCTCAGAGGTACATGTAGTAATTTTACTGTACTACAACTCAGAGGTAAATATAGTACTTTTACTGTACTACATCTCAGAGGTACATGTAGTACTTTATACTGTACTACATCTCAGAGGTATACATATTGTACTTTTTACTGTACTACATCTCAGAGGTACATATTGTACTTTTGCAGCCTTCCCATCAGCCCCTCTGATCCTGGGCCAGGACCACCTGAGTCTGGGGGCGGAGTCTGTCCTCACCTGTCAGGTGTCTGATCTTTACCCCGCTGAGCTGCTGACCCTCAACTGGCTCAGAGGTGATGTCGTCCTGCAGAGCATTATGGAAGATCCTGGATCCGGCTCAGTCTGGTCTGAGTACAGATTCACCCCTCTGGAACTGGACTCTGGAGGAAACATCAGCTGCAGGGCCACGATGGACCTGCAGGACCTGCCAGCTGAGGACAAGACCAGAGTGACCACTGTCCTCCTAAACCTGCTCTGTGAGTCCTCAGTGTCTGTCTTTAGTTCAGACCGTTGTTTTACATAGTTATTCATTATCCTACAAGACCGTTCATTAGACTGTTTATTGTCCCACAGGTCTGTTCATTGTCCCACAGGGCTGTTCATTGTCCCAGAATACTGTTTATTGTCCCACAAGACTGTTCATTATCCCTCAGGACTGTTCATTGTCCCACAAGACTGTTCATTGTCCCTCAGGACTGTTAATTTTACTACAGGACTGTTTATTGTCCCACAAGACTGTTCATTGTCCCACAAGACTGTTCATTGTCCCCCAGGACTGTTCGTTGTCCCTCAGGACTGTTCATTGTCCCACAGGACTGTTAATTTTACTACAGGACTGTTCATTGTCCCACAAGACTGTTCATTGTCCCACAGGACTGTTCATTGTCCCCCAGGACTGTTCATTGTCCCTCAGGACTGTTCATTGTCCTACAGGACTGTTCATTGTCCCTCAGGACTGTTCATTGTCCTACAGGAGTGTTCATTGTACCTCAGGACTGTTCATTGTCCCACAGGACTGTTCATTGTCCCACAAGACTGTTAATTTTACTGCAGGACTGTTCATTGTCCCACAGGACTGTTCATTGTCCCTCAGGACTGTTCATTGTCCTACAGGAGTGTTCATTGTCCTACAGGACTGTTCATTGTCCCACAGGAGTGTTCATTGTTGCACAGGACTGTTCATTGTCCCACAGGACTGTTAATTTTACTACAGGACTGTTCATTGTCCCACAAGACTGTTTATTGTCCCACAAGACTGTTCATTGTCCCACAAGACTGTTCATTGTCCCTCAGGACTGTTAATTGTCCCACAGGACTGTTCATTGTCCCTCAGGACTGTTCATTGTCCTACAGGAGTGTTCATTGTCCCTCAGGACTGTTCATTGTCCCACAGGACTGTTAATTTTACTACAGGACTGTTCATTGTCCCACAAGACTGTTCATTGTCCCTCAGTACTGTTCATTGTCCCTCAGGACTGTTCATTTTACTACAAGACTGTTCGTTGTCCCTCAGGACTGTTCATTGTCCCACAGGACTGTTCATTTTACTACAGGACTGTTCATTGTCCCTCAGGACTGTTCATTGTCCCACAGGACTGTTCATTGTCCCTCAGGACTGTTCATTTTACTACAAGACTGTTCATTGTCCCTCAGGACTGTTCATTGTCTTCAACTCAAAACCCTGAGAAGATGTTAAGTATATTTAACTAAACTGAACGTGTGCTTCTAATTATCTACAACCTATATAACCTAACATCAGTCTAACAGATCCTCCTCTTCCTCTTCAGATGCTCCTGTTGTCAAGATGACATCAGACTCCGTGTTGGTGATGGCCGGCTCTCCGCTCACTCTCACCTGCATTGTGGAGGGAAACCCCGATCCCAGTGTCACCTGGAGCTTCAGGTGGGCAGACGGTCGGTCTGAGGTACGCGGTCTAGGCCGACAGCTGGTCCTCACAGCGGTGACTCCGTCTGAGGCCGGACGCTATGACTGTGAGGCCCGGAACTCAGAGGGGAACCGGACGGCTGAAGTGGAGGTCACCGTTCATGGTGAGAGTGAAGCTCCTGTTTCATTCACTATCTCTGTACAACTGGAGACTGACACACCTGTACTCCTCCTCCACCAGCTCCGCCCACCAACACCTCCCTCTCAGTGAGTCCAGGTGAGGAGGTGCTGGAGGGTCAGCAGGTGACGTTGACCTGCCGCTCAGACGGAGCACCGCCCACCACGCTGGTGCTGAGGAGGGAGGGGGCTGAGCTCCAGAGGACTGACCCCGCCTCCTCGCTCTCCTTCAGCCTCTCCTCCGCCCAGCTGGAAGACTCCACCCACTATCAGTGTGAAGCCTCCAACCAGTACGGTACCCAACTGGTCTCCAGCTCCGTCACCGTCTCAGGTACTGGTTTTACAGGAAGGTGGTTCTGACATGGTGTGTGTGGGGGGGGGGGAAGCTGAGGAGTCCAGCTCTTCTTCTTCTGCTTCTTGTCTCTGAGTAGTTGTGACAGATGTTATCTGAAGAGTGGACCTCTCACTCCTCACATGATGCTGAGAACAGAAATAACCTCTGACTCCTCTGTTGAGCAATGTGTCAGACACTTAGAGCCTTCGGCTGCTGATGGAGACCAGACTGAAGTGGACCGAAGTGGACCGATTCTCAGTCCGTTGTGGATTCAGTTTCACTCGACACCGTTCATTCAGTTTACTGTTGTTTTCCTTTTCAAACACAAAAAGATAAATAGATGTCAGAGGAAGTTACTGTCAGTGTCTCTGAGTAAAATAAGAGATGTTCTCGTTACGTTATGATGATAAAACACAAACTTTCACCTTTATTTTTTTATTATATTTATTATACTATATTTATCCCGGTAAGGGGGAAATCTTTCTCTGCATTTGACCCATCCCTGTATGTACAGTGCCCTCCAGAATTATTGGCACCCTTTAGTAAAAATGAGCAAAACAGGCTGTGAAAAAATGTCTTTATTGTTTATCCTCATGATCTTTCATTCAAAATATTCACAAAAATCTAACCTTTAACTGAAGTAACATAATTGAAAGAAACATTAAATTCTTATCCTGAAACAAATATTTTCCTCAAAAATATATGTGCCACAATTATTGGCACCCTTCATTTAATATTTTGTGCAGCCTCCCTTTGCCAAGATAACAGCTGTGAGTCTTCTCCTATAATGCGTGATGAGGTTGGTGAACACATGGCACTGGATCTGAGACCATTCCGCCATGCAGAATCTCTCCAGATCCTTCAGATCCCGAGGTCGACGCTTGTGAACTCTCCTCTTCAGCTCATCCCACAGATCTTCTATGGGGTTTAGGTCGGGGGACTGTGACGGCCATGGCAAAACCTGTATTCTGTGGTCGGTGGACCATCTTTGTGTAGATTTTGAGGTGTGCTTCGGATCGTTGTCCAGCTGGAAGGTCCAACCACGGCCCATTTTAAGCTTCCTGGCAGAGGCTGTTAGGTTTTCATTTAATATCTGCTGGTATTTGATGGAGTCCATGATACCATGAATCCTAACAAGATGTCCAGCCCCACAACATCAAAGATCCGCCACCATACTTCAGTGGGTATGAGGTGCTTCTCTGTGTGGCTATCTTTCTGTCTACGCCAAACCCACCTTTGATGTTTGTTGCCAAAAAGCTCTATTTTGGTCTCATCTGACCATATAACCCGGTCCCATTGAAAGTCCCAGTAACATTTGGCTTGTGGTGATGTAGGTGGGTCTGATGGTAGTTTAGGAGACTTTCTGACCCCAAGACTCAACTAACCTCTGCAGTTCTCCAGCTGTGATCCTTGGAGATTCTTTTGCCAGTCGAACCATCCTCCTCACGGTGCGTGGGGTCAATGTACACACAGGTCCTCTTCCAGGCTGATTCATAACATCTCCCGTCGCTTTAAACTTCTTACTTATTGCCCTGATAGTGGAAATGGGTATTTTCAGCTGTTTACAGATTTTCTTATATCCTTTTCCTGATTTGTGCAGCTCAACAACTTTTCGTGGCACATCGTCGCTGTGTTCTCGGGTCTTTCCCATTGTGATGAATGACTGGCCCAATCCCAATGTCCCCCCTTACGGACTTTGAGGCGCGCTCCCGCGAAGTCCGTGAGGGTTTAGGGCTGTCCCACTGTCACATCGTCAAGTGTTTGAGGCTCTCTCGCAGACATTTTGAGCCCTTTATGAACCCTTTCCGTAAGTCAGCATGGTATGCTGACTTAGCCTAAGGGAATTACCCACAAATCATTGCAATGTGACGTTAAACACGGGGTAACCAGTGGACGCATGGAGACGTAAAAAAAAAGGTAAACAAAGAGGATGGCTCACGTGTGTTCAGCCTGTCATAATAAATGTACCCAGAAACATTAAGGGTTAAAGATGGAACAAAAAATAACATGAAATCAGAAGATATTTATTTATTTATTTATTCATCAAATATTTGATTTTGTCATTGAAGCTGTTTTGACAAAATGAGTAAATAGATGATATGAAGTTACCTCTCATCTAGTGAGGAAAGAGCCTGAAGACGTTCACATCAGGGAGAACAAAGAATAAAATAAATACACACAGTTATACATCATATTTCTTGTCGTTTTCATGGTAACGTGATATGTTGCAGCAACGTGCTGTCCCGTTCATATTCACACCATCTCAAGCCCTCACAGTCTCTCACACTCACCCACTCACCAGGTGATGTCAGTAAGTCCTTGAGGGTTCAGGGTTTGAGGGTTTAGGGGGGACATTGGGATTTGGCCACTAAGGGAATTTGACCTGTGTCACCTCATATTTATACCCCAGTGAAACAGGAAGTCATGGTTGACCATTTAAGAGTTCCTAATCAAACAGGTCAACTTAAAAATGTAAAATATGACTGGAATTATACTTCAGTTAGATTTTAATCATGAGGTTTTCTAGGGGTGCCAATAATTGTGACACACATGTTTTGGAGAAAAATATTTATTTAATGTCAACATTTTTTTTTTTCTTTCAATAATTTTACTTTGATGAAAAGGTAACATTTCTTGTGAATATTTTGAGTGAAAGCCCAAGAGGATAAACAGCAAAGAATTTTTTTCACAGCCTGTTTTGTTCATATTCACTAAGGGTGCCAATGATTCTGGAGGGCACTGTATAGGGAGCAGTGGGCTGCCCATGACAGGCACCCGGGGAGCCGTTAGGTGTTCAGTGTCTTGCTCAGGGACACTTCGACACCGAACACGTCCCAGCCAAGGATCGAACCACCGTTACCAGACAACCCTCTTAACCCAGTGAGCCACGGTCGCCCCTTTTTTATAGCTTTTTATTTATTTTAATTTTACTTTTGTTCACTTCAGGAAACAGAAAACTGCAGCTTTCATTGTTTAACAACACGTCTCGATATCTTCAGCGATGAATCAATTTGTTTATTGGCAAAAAAATTAATAAGCAAGTATTTTGAGAATCAGTTATTTCCAGTTATTATAAGTAAGTTAGTCTTGGTCCTTGAGGGGTCAGGTACTACAGGATCCTGCTGCTCCTCTAATGTTTCTTCAGTCTGTCAGACCTTCTGATCTTCAGGTAGTTTTTCTTCACTTCTGTGAGTCATGTGACCAGTTTCTGCCTCAACTCTGATCTGGTTTCTTGTGGTCCAGCTCCTCCGAGAAACACCACTGTCCTGGTCCTGCCGTCTACGGTGGTCCAGGAGGGACAAAATGTCACCATCTGCTGCCAGACCGTCAGCTTCCCACTGTCAGCCGTGGTCCTGAGGAAACTGACCAATGGGATGGAGCTGTATTCCTCCAATGGAACCTTCCTATTGGTCAACGTGACGGCCAGAGACTCTGGTCTGTACCAGGTCAACGTGACCAACGACCTCGGGTTCCAGGTCAAAGTCTTTAGCATCAGCGTAAGAGGTCAGTGAGACCAGTCCTCCCAGTTTAGTCTCCAGTCTGGTTCTGTCTGTCTGGTGGTTCAAAGAGTTTAGTTTCAGTAGGAATAAAAGGGTTTTATTGTATTCTGAAGTTTCTGTCTCCTTCGGTTCCCACAGAGAGAAGCACCAGTGTTCCTCCCAGTCTCAGTGCTGTCCTCATCCCAGTCGTCTGCTTTGCTGCTGGACTAGCAGCTGCTGCTCTGCTCCTCGACTACCTGAGGAGATCCAGGAAGAAAGGTTTCTATCAGCTGCCCCAGTCTGCCCCTCCTTCAGCCTGAGGCTAACACGTGGCTACCACGTCCTACCATGCAGCTACCGAGTCACAACATGTGGTTACCAAGTCCCAATATGCGGCTATCAAGTCCCAACATGTGGCTACGACATCCCAACACATGGCAACCACGTATTAGCATGTGGCTACCACGTTCCAACGTGGGCCTTCCAAGTCCCAACATGCAGCTACCGAGTCCCAACATGTGGTTACAAAGTTCCAATATGCGGCTACCAAGTCACAACATGTGGCTACCAAGTCCCAACATGTGGTTACCAAGTCCCAACATGTGGCTACCATCTCTCAGCGTATGGCTACTAATTTGCAACATGTGATTTCAATATCCTTACCTGTGGCTTGTATTACCCAAAACATGACTACCACTTCTAATATCCCATTGTGTGGCAACCAAGTCCCAACATGTGGTCACCGAGTCCTAACATGTGGCTACCAAGTCCCAACATGTGGCTACCAAGTCCCAATATGCGGCTACTAAGCCTCAACATGTGGTTACCAAGTCCCAACATGTGGCTACCACATTCCTATATGTGCTACCATCTCCCAACATGTGGTTACCAAGTCCCAATATGCGGCTAATAAGTCCCAATATGCGGCTACCTAGTCCCAACATGCGGCTACCACCTCCCAACATGGGCCTTCCAAGTCCCAACATGTGGTTACTAAGTCCCAACATGCAGCTACCGAGCCCCAACATGCAGCTTCGAGTCCCAACATGTGGTTACCACGTTCCAACATGTGGCTACCACGTTCCTATATGTGGCTACCACGTTCCTATATGTGAACATGAGTACTGGCTGAAGGTAAATTATAACGTTATCATGATGTGTTCACATGTAATCTGTAAAATGTAGTTTTGGTGATAAACTTGAATAAATCCAGTAGTTTGAAGGAGATGTTTTCACATGAATATAAAATAGATATTAGAGATGAATTATGAACACTGACTTCAGGCTGAAATGATTGATTCTAGTTGTGAGGTGAGACTTTTGATCGGTGTTTCTCTTTACATGATGGGGACATGAACAACAGTGTACTGTCCCTTTTAAGTTTTCACAAACATTCCTGTGACTCCTCTGTGTTCCTCTGGTTCGGTACTCTACTTTGTTTTTCACTCTTTTATTAAAGATATTTATTTCTTATCTGGTCTTGATGGAATGTGAT